CAGCGCGAGGGCGAGGCCGCCAGACCGGGGAACACCGGGGGAACGCACCCCGCCGCCCGCCGGGGGAAACGCACGCGGCCGCCCGCCAGACCGGGGGAACGCCGCCGCCAAAATGGGATTTCTAAATATGGAAAAATAAATAGAAAAATAAAAAAATATTTCACACTGTTTGCAAAAACTAATTAAAAACTGATGAAAATCTAAATATTAAATCTATAAGCAGAATAAGTAAATGACCAGATATTGTGCATATTATAATTACATTGTTGTTGAGTGTTGTCAAGTCGTAGGAGACTCATAGCGACCCTATGAACCAAAGTCCTTGAAGGCCCATAACAACAACAACAATGTAGGCATATTAGAAACTTTGTTAACCTTACTTATTATTTATTATATACTCTTATGGGCCTCCTGGCCTCTCTTGGAAAAAATCTGAAATAATGTATTTATTTAATAACTCATTTTCAGATGTATTAATTTCAAATGTGGCTTGTGTCAGTATAAATATAAATATAAACAAAACTGCTTTAAACTTACTTATATGCACTACACTTTATTTCAAATAACATATTGTAATGGACGATTCTGGTGTCAAGGACCTCCACCATGTGTTAAAGAGTAAGGATGGCACTTTAAAGACTGAGGTGTCTAAGTATTGTCTACTATTTCAAATGCATAGAAAAGTTGGACAATAAATAAGAAAGACTGAATTAAAACGAATGCCTTTTGAATTGTAGTGTTGGAGAAGAATGCTGAATATATTATGGACTGTCAAAAACACCCCAAATCTGTGTTGGAAGTAGAGCTCCCAAAGTATGCCACAGAAGTACCAAGGATGAAACATTGTCTCACATACCTTGGTCCTATCATCAGGAGGGGCCAGTTTCTATAGATGACCACATGGTTAGACAAGTAGAGGGTTGATGCAAAAAAATAAAGACCTTCAATGAGATAGGACAAAGCTTTAACAATGGAGTTAAGCACAGTAGAAACTGAAGATAGCACAGAATTAAGCAGGGTTCTGTTCTGCTGTACGCAGGGTTGCTATCAGTCAAAGCTGATTCAACACCCAATGATAAAACCATAAACACTTGTTTTTACTAAATAAAATGTTGTTGTTGTTATGTTCTGTCAAGTTGCCTGCGACTCATAGAGACCCTAAGTACAATAGCCCCTAATACCTACTTTATCCTGTGCCAATCTTACTGTCTCTGACACACCTACCACTATTACCCCAGTCACTGAATCAATCCATCTCACTGAGGGTGTCTTCTCCTGCACTGACCCTATAACCTATGCAAGCAACATTCAGCTGAAGATTATCCAAAAATGATGGGAACAGTACATCAGAAGAAAACTGCTAGAAGTGCAGACTGGATTTAGAAGGAATTGTGGTACTAGGGATATTGTAGCTAATGTTAGATGGATCTTGACTGAAAGCAGGGAGTACTAGAGGAATGTATATCTGTATTTCATTGACTATGCAAAGACATTTGACTGTGTGGACCACAACAAACTGCCACTAACTCTGAGAAGAATGGAAAACTCAGAACACTAGATAATGATTATGCAAAACCTATACTTGGACCAGGAGGCATCAGAACAGAGCAAGGAAACACTGCATGGTTCAAAATTAGGAAGGATGTATGCCAGGGTTGTGTCCTATCTCCATACCTTTTCAATCTATATTCAGAAAAATTTATCCAGGAGGTTGGGCTCCATGAGGAGAAGTGTGACATCAAGATTGGAGGAAGACTCATCAACAATCTGCCTTATGCAGATGACACAACTGCGCTTGCTGCAAAAGGCAAGGGAGGACTACAGCCTTCAATATGGATTGAAGCACAATATCAAGAAAACAAAGATTCTCACCACTGGGTCATCTGGCATCATCATGATAGATGGGGAAAAGACTGAGATTATAAACAGCTTTAGTTTGCTTGGCTTCATAACCAACACTCTTGGCACCAGCAGCCAGGAAATTAGAAGACATAGTGTGTTGGGAAAGTCTGTTGTCAGAGACCTCTCCAAAGTACTGAAGAGCAATGATGTCATTTTGGAGACTAAGGTGCACCTGATTCAGGCCATGGTCTTTGCAATTATTTGCTATGCATCAGAGAACTAGACAATGACTAGGAATTATAGAAGGGGAATTGTGGTGTTGGAGAAGAGTATTGAATTTATCATGGACTGCTAAGAGATATAAAATTATAAGAAGGAAATATTGTTCCTGACTACAGAGTAGAATTTCTGAAGAATATATTTTGAATCTGGAAATCAAATAACATACTTTACTCAAAAAAATACAGATGATGTTCTCTTGAAGCAAATAAAACTTGCTTCCCAGATATTTAGATGTAAAGGAGGGATAAAACTTGATGGATAGATAAGTACTAAATCTTGAGAGGTAGATAGGTACTAACATTTATTGAAGTTCTTGCCTACATGATTTTTATTTCCAAAGTCTTTTGAAACTATTCAAACCCTTAATTACCCTGTAAATTACACTATTTTTTATGCCTCATTTTTAAGTGTGGAAACAGTAGTTCAAAGAGTTAAAGTGCATTTCAGGAGATTGTTGAAAATATGTTGAAATCTAATTCCCTATTCCTCTCCCTGGACTGGAATTTCTGTGCTAAAAAACAGATAAATGTGTGATCAGATCTGAGAATAGTCTACCTTCCTCCAGCTAGTCTCTATGTCCCACTTCCATCCAGAGCTCAGGATCCAGACACCATATCTGGATAAATGAAAGTTGTGGCCACACAAACTCGCCAATGTGGTCTGGCAGTCAAATTTTGAAAACTAATGCACCAAAAATCAGGAACCACATAAATGAATGTCTGTTCTTAGAAGTCACTGACAGGATAAATCTATCCAAGTGAAAGGAAGAAATCAGATTTTGCATTGTGTTTGAAAAACATCTCAGTTCAATTCAATTCATTGTCATTACCATCAAGTTGGAACCAACTCATAGCTGACTCTCTAGTGGGTTTTCAGAAGCTGTCAATTGCAGGGAAAGAGATTGCCCATCTTTTCCAGTGAGTACTTAGTGGATTAGAACTGCCTCCCTTTGCACTGACAGTTTATCTCCTTATCCCCTAGGCCATCATAGCCTACATCTTGGGATTTTTTACTTGAGTCAGTGTGTACGCCAGGTAGAATCAGTAGAAACTAAAGTCTCTGCCTAGAGGAGTGAGGGATGTGGAAATGCCTGATATCTGAGAATAGAGATTAGAGGAAGTAGAAAAGCAAATAGGACTTGAAAGTGTCGGTGAGAGGAAGAAAGAAACAGAAAGTTTAATGGACAAGTTAATTCAGGACGCAACTACGTCTTCTCTGGTGGTCTAGTGGCAGCAAACTGCTTTATAATCCCAAAGGTACTTAGTTCCAATCCACCAGATGCTCTGTAGCAGAAGGATAGGCAATCTTCTCCCCTGTGATTAACTGTCTAGGGAAACCTACCAGACAATGGCATACAAAAACAACAATGAACACAATAAATGTCTGAGAAACAGGATCTTAGTAAATTATCTTGAAGTTGAAAGAGGAAAAGCAATTTTGGAAAGGTTTTTACCACAGTTAAGACAGCCCTTCCTCGTGCAAATCAATCCACGAGGACCAGAGCACTGTGGTGAGTGGATATTGAATGAAATCCTAAAGGCAGGATGGAGGAGAGAACTAAATCCTGGAAGAGAAGAGGCTCCTTGGCTCTGCAGTCCCTCTGACTACGTCACCAAAGCTGGGGCTACATAAGACTAAAGCGCGTTGCAGCGCCTTGCATCTGTGCTCCAGCCAGCGTGCAGAGCTGCGCGCAGGGCGCAACTCAAGTTCCGCTGTGCAGGCAGCCCCTAAGATTTTGCTCTCTAAGAACAACTCATCCTTGCCAGAGCTGCAAACTCCCAGAAGAAAGCTCAGCTCTTGCTCTCCGTCACCAGCAGGGGCAAGCAGCCTTCAACCAGGAGAGGAGGGATAATCTGTACTAGCTTCCAGACCCAGAGGAAAGCAGCCCCCATAAAGTGATCCGGAGGCAGAGACGAAGAACTTCGGCAACTAGGGTTGGACCGGCAACGGTGAACAGGGAGGCGCAGCAGAGGCTCTTCGATGGCCTCTCTCCTGGAGGCGCGGAACTGGACCAACAGTGCCGGAGGTGCGGGCGCCCACGCCTTGGAGAACCTGAGCGCCACGCTAGTGGCTGGAGCTGCTGCAGAAGCCATGGAGCCTGAGGGACGGCATCTGCTGATCCCAGGCAACAACCTGTCTGCTTCCTCCGCTCCAGCTCTGGGACTCCCCATGGCCTCCCTGGCGCCTTCCAGGGCCAACTTCACCAACCAGTTTGTGCAGCCGTCCTGGCGCATCGCGCTCTGGTCCCTGGCATATGGTGTGGTGGTGGCTGTGGCTGTCTTTGGAAACCTCATCGTCATCTGGATTATCTTGGCCCACAAGCGCATGAGGACAGTCACCAACTACTTTCTTGTGAACCTGGCTTTCTCCGACGCCTCCATGGCTGCCTTCAACACCTTGGTTAATTTCATCTATGCGCTTCACAGCGAATGGTACTTTGGAACCAACTACTGCCGCTTCCAGAACTTCTTCCCTATCACAGCGGTGTTCGCCAGCATTTACTCTATGACAGCTATCGCGGTGGACAGGTGAGGATAAGATGGGAAGAGTGGAGGGAGGAAGCAATGTGTGATAAGGTTGCAAAGGAAAGAGAAGCAGTCTCAATAAAAAGCAAGAGGTTAAAAAAAAATGTTGAAGAAATAGGTCACTAATTTCTATGCAAGGAACCAGGAGGCACAGTGCATAGTAGTCCTTCTGTGACAATTTACAGCCTTAAAATCTGAGGAGGGTCACTGTAAATCAGAACTGACTCCATGACAGTGAGTTGGTTTGTTTTGTTTTGGTTTGGTTTTAGTCTATGTGTAATCTTCAGATGCCTGCTTCCATGGTCCTGACTGACCCCTCTGGAAAATTGTCCTACCCATCAATTTGAAAATGCTAATGAGTGGGCTCTTGGAATCAGTCATTCCAAATAAAAGAAATTTAGACAGAGTAAAACCTAAGAAACTTAGGGTCTATGTTCAAGGGGGGAAAGCTGTCAGAGAAGGAAACTCAAGTATTTCCAATTTACAGTGCCAGAAAAGAGGTAAACTGCTCCCAGTCTAAAGTGGGAAACTTGTCAAACTTGGGAAAAAAGGCTGTTTCTTAGAGTTCTAGTTTTCAAAGATGTCACTGTAAAAACATTTAATACTAGGAAACGTTCTCAAATGAGTTTGTGTTTGCTGTAAAATGTAGTGCTTTCTGGTATGCTCTGTGTTGGTTACTACCCTGGCTGAGAAATGGACAATGTGTTATCCTGCAGCATTCCATCTCTTCTATAATTGTTTAGTTCTCAGCTCCCATCCCTATCTCTTTACCTTGCACCAAGGTCAGCATTAGCTTGACCTCCTAGCCAAGGAGGATTCTAGTATGACTAAAGTTTACCCCAAAACTCATTGTTAATTTCCAGTTTTGATTGTGCATGGGTTATGTTTAACACAGCAACAGCTAACAATAGTAGACAGACAAAAGATAGAGGTTTAAAATGAGTAAACTCTGGGTCTGAAAGATTTGCATCCAATTCTTCCAGATGATGATCAACATTAAATAAAAAAAATGAATGGTTTATAAAGAGACACATTCCCTTACAGGTGATTAAAATGTTTAAAAGGAAGTCTATACATTTGTTACAGTGGTAATTACCCACTTAAAAGAGATCAGGTAAAACTTAACATTGATTCTCATGTGCAAATTTTTAAAAACTGGCATACATTTGTTTTCTCATGTTAAACATTATGAAATTTACATGTTATAGCAATAAAAGAGTGAATTCATTACATTTTATTGACAGTTGGTTGTATTTTAAATCAATATCATGCTGAAAATTGAGTATATCAGATAGTTCCAGTATCAGCTTTGTGATTGATAGCTGCCTTGGAAATGTATGAGGAGGCTGTCACTTAAACGTCAAGTCTTATTGTCCTTCTCACCTGTGAAAAGAAACCTATTTCCAAATAAAATGAGCCTAAAAATTCAGCCTTACTATATTCAGCCACTATGAGGGAGAAAAAAAAGAAGAAACAATCTCTTTCCTTAAGTCCATTCTCTGTATTTACTCTTTTGATATAATGAGTACAGATACTTGTGAAAACATATCTTTAAACAATATTTTATTTTGGTAATTCTAGATGGTTAAATTGGAGGACCAGTTAATTGTCACTAAATGAAAAAAAAAAAACCAAACGAGTAAAATTCACACTTTCTAAAAATCTCTGAAGCCACCAGCTTTTTCCTTTTCTCTCCATTATCTTTATCTCTAGTCTTTTTAATAATATCTCATTCCTTCCTTTCTCCTAGCACTGCAACTAAGTAAAAAAACAAAAATAAGCAAACAGCCCAAAATGGGAGAATATTAGACTTTCCTTTAATCTTGCTCTGCCAAAGTAGAAATGAAAGACTTCTATATTTTAAGCATTTTATTTTTGCTTTATTTTTATGGAAATTTTTGTGTTTGTTTTTATGTGTTTCTTAATGAGTTTTCACATTATGATTGTGAGAGAGACATCAGCACATCATGTTATAAAATGCTTGCATTATTCCTGAAATTTTTGTGATGTAATACAAAATTCCATAGAATTGTTAGTGCATGTTCAATTAGTATTTCTATTTTGAGAAAAGAAAAGGATATTTGTGCAGTATTTTTTGGTCACTACTTACGGAAAATCTCAAGCCATCTTGAAGTTATTTTAAATGACTACTTCATACTATTTTATTATTCTCACTTCTTAGAAATGTCATTGGACTTCTTCATTAGAATATGTTATCCTACCACTAAGTCTTTAAAAATTTATGATATATACTATTTGCAATAAAATCTGTAGTATACATAAGTGAGATATTGAAATTAACTTTAAAACTATTATTTAATGTCACCTATTTGAGAAGACAATAAAAAGAAATATAGAAAGAAAGGTATTTAAAGTTATTTTCAAAATCAAAGATTATTTGAATACAGCAGTTATTCTAGTTCTCAGAAGTTTGACAGTCCATGGAATCTTTCTCTTTTTATGTCTCAGTAAAGATGCAATGGAAATTACTGACACTATGCTATTTGAAATCCTAATATAGATTAAAATTTACAGGTTGACTCTGACTACTCAATCACTTTTGCTTCGAACTCCAGAGCATTATGGTGCCTTTGGTTATGACCTCATGAACTTTCTGCCTATCACATATAATTTATAAAATAGATAACTGTGTGAAAAAGTTGCATTTTCTGTAGAATTTGTGCTTTACTAAATTAACTGTGAAGGTTAAGAAATTCCTAAATAGATTTTTATTGAAAAATAAACACATTATTTGATAAAATGATGATTATTTAAATGGAAACATCAAATTTTTCTTTGTAAAATTGTATCTTCAATCCCTATCTGATGTAAACATCTAATATTCCTCCTAGCCTAAGTTGAAAACACATTCAGTTCACTCTGTTTCTCTACATAAACTCAGGAATATCTGAGTTAGAAATTCCTTTAACTTTAACTTACAACCTAATATGACTCTTAAAAATTCCTTAATGAACTAAAACATTCTGTAAATGGATAAAGATTCTAAAGTCAATGGCCACCCATTTGTTGAATACCGGACTTTTTTGCTAGTTAGTCATTCATCAACAGGAGAATTGCTTCTTTTTATATCTTTACTTTTTCATAATATTAGTAATTCTACTACAGATTTTAATATGTAAAGGTCAAATACTCAGTTCTTATTCAAATGTGTGCTACCTTATGAATTATGATAAATTCTTTCAAAACTGCAATTTTAGGTACTAAGAATTCTTTCACTTCTGTATAAGATCATTTTTCTTTGAAAGACAAATTACCACCCAGGCTACACATACATATACACATGGAGAGCTCATAGAATTATTTTCTATCAAATTTTATCTTCACATACCTTCCCAGATCTATAATTTTTAAATAGAACATTCAGACTTAATATTTATTTTTTAAAATGCTATGCTTTTCTGAGTCCATGCAGGAGAACCAGGATTCAAACACTACAGTCCACTCTCAGTCCTGTGCATTTTTAAAAGCCTGCAGTGTTAAGCAATTAAAAGAATTGACACACCACTCTTCTGTCATTTGACTATACAGCTGTGGCTTGACTGTTGATGTGGTTCTGGGAGCTGATATTGCATATACTAGCAGGATCACTTATATAGGACACTTTTCAGCAAAGCTTCTAGGAACAGACCAGGAAACAGGACTGGTATGATATATTGTTGTTGTGTCCTATCAGATGGGAACAGACCAATAGCTGATCTTCAGTAGGTTTACAGCAGCAATACATTGCATGGAAGGAGAATCCCATCCTTCTTCCACAAAGCAGCTTGCGGATTTGCCTTTTACACATGCCTTTATAATTGCAACTCAGCTTTCTTACAACTAAGTTCATCCTTCTCATCTCCTGAAATAATGAGACTTTGAAAACCCTGTGAATAGCAATAAGTCAGAGCCAACTCAAGGGTACCTAAAACCAAAAGTTCATTGTAGTTCATATACTTCCATTGTAGATGACAGTATTTCAGATTGTATTCATAGTGAGTCTATTTACAACAAAAGACTCACTGTCTAATCTTCTGTCACCCTTACAATCACTGTGATATTTGAGCCTAGTTTTGTAATTTCTATGTCAGTTCTTGAGGATTCTCTTCTTGCTTTCTGACTTTCTACTTTACCAAGCATGATGGCCTACTCCAGGGCTTGTTTTCTCTTGAACTTATTTTGGCATTCTTTTTTATAATATAGATTGTGGCTGGATGTCACGTAGTAGAATCAACTTAGAGCTGACCCTCCAGTGGATTTTCAGAGCCTGGTAAATTATATGGGGGGAAATTGTCTATCTCCCTCAGAGCTTCTGGTAGATTCAAACTACCTACCCTGCGTTGGCAGCATAACTCTTTACCTTAGGCCACCAGAGCTCCTATCTGACTGGCAGTACAATGTTCATTCAATATTATTCAGCAGCACCACAATTAAAATGTGTCTATCCGAGAAGCTGGGCTCTATGAGGAGAAGTATGGCATCAGGATTGGAGATAGACTCATCACAATCTTTGTTATGCAGATGACACAATCCTGCTTGCTGAAACTGAGGAGGACTTGAAGCGCTTGCTGCAGAATGTCAAGGACTGCAGCCTTCACTATGGATTGAAGCTCAACATCAAGAAAACAAAGATTCTCACCACTGGATTCAGCAGCAGCATCATGATAGATGGTGAAGAGATTGAGATTGTTGACATATTCAGTTTGCTTGGCTCTACAATTAGCATTCTTGGTACCAGCAGCCAGGAAATTAAAAGATTAATTACATTGGAAAAGTCTGCTTTCAGAGACCTCTCCAAAGTACTGAAGAGCAATGCTGTCAGTCTGGAGACTAAGGTGCACCTGATAGAGGCCATGGTCTTTGCAATTACTTACTATGCATCAGAGAGCTGGACAATGACTAAGAATGATAGAAGGAGAGTTGATGCCTTTGAGTAGTGGGTGCTGGAGATGAGTATTGAATATACTGTGGACTGCTAGGAGAATGAAAAGGTTCGTCTAGGG